CCACTATAAACAAAATAACACCCCCAAATCTTCACACACAAAACACAAACAGAACCTCAACAAAATCAGCAATCTTAACACACTTTAAGACAGTTCAATCCTCAAACAATATTCATTCTGAACTCAAACAACTCTATGAAACAAAAATCTTAACTACTAACTCTTCTATTTAAAACGAAACTCAATTTAAACTGTAATTAAACATCAACATCAACAGAAACTCAACCAGCAAACAACGACCAAAATGAACTCAGACAAAAACACATTACAAACACATGTTATTACAGACCAACTCTGAGGCTCCAACTACTACACACAAACACACAATAAGCACAACATAAGTTGTCAGTAGCTTAAACACATTATATATCATACACAACAACATGCATTATGAGAACACACTTAGCTATGAACAAAAACCATTAACAATCACTATTCAACACACAATTCGGAACTTAAACCAAGAATTAAACCAGAACATGCTAATTTAATGTCTTTAGCTTGACAATTCATGTATGATCATGGCTCCTTCAATTGAGTGATGGTGGTGAGTCTTTCCACTTCACCACCCGGATAATGCTTGAGCCTCTGACCATTGACTAACCACGTCCTTCCAGAGGCAGGGTCTTCAAGTTCAATGGCTCCATATGATCTGACAGATTTAACTGAGAAAGGGCCTGACCACTTAGATTTGAGCTTCCCAGGGAAAAGTTTCAACTTGGAATTGAATAGCAATACTTCACTTTCCATTTGAAACACTATAGATTGATTACAAGAAACCCACCTTCAAAATTATACTCTAAGCCAGTGGTGCCACTCAGAATAAACAACAAGGTGCCTAATGGATATGATTTACTTCCTAAGGCATGAAATTTGGGAAACCTTTTGGAAACTAACTAAATCAAATTCTTTATTGAACTTCTTGAAAAAGCATGTTTAGTCAACGAACTCGGAAAATACTTCATTTTTAAATATTCAATATTCCCTAGATCTCCACATTCGACTAAATACCTCACTATATGTTCGACAGTAGACTCCTTCAATTCTCCCGTAAATTTTGAAAATTTTGGGATTTTTGCCCCCCTAGGCAATTCTACCTGAGTTACATATTCTGGAAATGCAGACACAAAATAAGGATGTTCATTTCGACCTACCTCGAAACCATGTTTGTTTAGTACCCTTTCTACAATTTGATCTAGATTTTCATCAAGGTTCCTATGAGGTCTGCCTAAATTTTAGGGAAAAACTACATTCCCACCTTGATTTTCCATATCGTTCAAATTCACATTCATGGCCCTCGAGGGTGGATTGTCTCCCATTTTATATCCTATTTTATTTATTAACTCATATAGGGGTTAGTATATTATGCATCTGAGTTGACAACAAATTAACCATGTCATAATTACTATGGTCCATCTGTTGTCGAAGGGATATCATGGCTTCATTACTAATACCTGTAGGGACATAACTACTCTGTTGAACCAGAGATCCCTCATGACTTGTCCCTATATGTTGATACGAATCTTGCATGACAAATCCCAATCCATTTGGTCTAGGATTATACCCTTGTGGGGATACATGCATTTGCGAGTTTGGTCCTAAATAGGGTACTGGCATTTCGACATGTACAGGTTGAGTAGTTCGCCAATTCGGCGACATACCCCACGGATATTCTCTAGTGGCATTTGCAAATTCTTGGGATACATTTGTTTGCCTAGCCACATTTTCGAGCACAACAAGGGGTGATATTGCCCCCCTTGTCACAGTAGTCACATTATCTGGGTTTGGATTTCCGTGCTCTACATCTACTTGATCATCATTGTTCATTTCTCTCCTATTATTAGACGTAGACATGGTTCTTCCACTCCTAAGTCTCATAAAACATATATACCTAAAACTAGTTCAATTATGTTTTCAATTAAACGTGTCCCACCGGGCGTGCCAATTTGTTTGTGGTGGAATTCGTTTACGAGTTCTTTTTACTTGAACTAGCACGCAATTGTTTCAATTTAGGTATTTACGATTTAAGAAGACAAGAGAAGGTGACTAATAAACATTTGTTTCCAGATTTTCATTGATGAATATTAAGCAATAATGTTCATGCACGTAAATACTCAAATGAACAGAATGAACAATCAATATATTGGCAATGTAAATCATAGTTCATTTCACATAACGATCAAATTACAATATCAGAATTTAACTAACTACAAATTGAAACTAACTACACTAATCCTATGAAAAGAAAGAAAATGTGGCCAAGAAGTGGTCATACCCAGCAACAATCCCATGCACGAAAGCCATATGCACAGGTAGAAAGTGTTTTCAAAAGTGTGAGTATGAAGTTTCCAATCTCTGTGAATGAATGTGTTTCTCATACTTATAGAGTTAACCGAGAGCGGTTAGTACGTCGTGTGCTCGTAACTGCTATCCACTATACCTCCATTTCGTGGCTTAAATCGAGAACGGTTAACATTATATGTGCACGTTGTGAGCTCGTAACCGCTATTCACTATTCTCATTACGTGGTTTGAATGTAACTTTTATAACCGTTTTATCCCACGTGATTTTTTATTTCTTCGATTTACTCGTTTGGTAGCCACCTAGGTATAATTGTTCCCACATTCCTCAGGTAACCTCTATTAACCTCTCGACTTACCATCGACTACCTATATGCATTTAGTCATACTTATCCTTTATGTGTTTATATGGCTTGTGTACTTTTATTTGACTTTTTTGTTCCGAGAAGGTCTCGAGAGAATCTTTTTTAGTAGCCCCAACAATACCTATTCAAATGGACTTTCAAACGTTTGGGTTTCAACTTCAAAAATCAATACAAATTGGGTAGTAGTAACAAGGCAATAGGCACTTTATCAAGGAAAATGACTTGTGCTACTATTTCTTGGGTTCTATGTCAAGAATGGGAAGGATTACAAGAAAAATTTTAATATGATACAAAGTTATATAAATTGATTCAAGATCTTATAGTTAATCCAATAAACTATCCTAAATATGTACTATTTAAGGGTCTTTTTATTCCATCACGACAAACTAGTGCTACCTAGGAAATCAACCAATATGCACTTGTTAGCTGAATTTCACAATTCCTCAACGAGTCCATTTAAAAATTTTTAGAACATTCAAATTGTTGGTTACAATGGTACCTTAGGAAGGTATGAAGAAGGACTTCTATGGTTTTACTTAGAGATGCAATATTTGCCAAAGGAATAAAAATGAAATGCTATCTCCTATTAGCCTTTACCCTTATTCTAAATTCACACATACGTTTGGCCTGACATCTCAATGGGCTTTATTATTAGCATCCTCATGGCCAAGTGAAAGAATACTATATTTGTGTTGGACTGTTGGTGGATAGATTCTCCAAATATGCAAATATTTTTCTTCTTGGAACACATTTTTTTTTCTACCAAAGATATGGCTCGTGCCTTTATTGAATGAGTTGTTAAACTTCAAGGCTTCTTTACCATAATGATTACTAATAGAGACCAATTTTTCTTTAGTCATTTTTGGTCAAAATTGATCAAACAGGTAGACACAAAAATCAAGCATAGCATTGCATATGTCCCCCCAAATTAACAACCAAACGAAAAAGGTAAATAGGTGCTTAGAGATATGTTTATTTTGTTTTTTAAGAGAGAATCATAAACAATGGTCTAATTGGCTATCTTAACCAAAGTATTGTTTAATACCACATAGTTCAATCAAGACGTGTATTTTTTTAATTCCATATGGTCGCAACCCTCTAGTATTATTTAAGGGAGATATTCTTCCCTTAAAGGTAGAAGATGATATTCGACTTAAACAACAAAGAGATATGTTACAACAACTTAAACTAAACCTAGATTGAACTCAACAAAGAATAAATTTTATGCAATCAAGAAAATAAAAGAAGTGGAATTCAATGTGGGTTGATTACTGGGTATATCTTAAGGTTCAACCTTACTAGTTATATTTGTTTTACTATGGTCCACACAAGATAATCTTGAAAGAAATGGTTTGGTTGAATACAAGCTAGAGTTACAAAAGTATTCTCATGTCCACTTTGTTTTCCTTGTATCTCTACTAAAGAATGTATTGACAACATCATTAGTGGCATAACCTCTACCACCAGCCTTAACCAAGGAATGAGAGTTAAAGCCCAACCATAATGTGTCAGTTGTTAGGTATTGGAATTGAATAACAAAATAAGTCCCCATCTAGCTAGTGAGAGCATCTTCCTTTTTGCAAGGATTTATAGGAATACTTTGCAACCATTTAGAAAAATTCCCCCTTAAGGACAATGGGAAGGGTGGAGTATTCACAACAAGCTTATGATTAAGTAAGTTCATTTTTTGAAAGGAAGTAGTTGGGCCACAACTACATAGGCCCAATTAGGGGTAGTTTTTTTTTTTATAATTATAAATCATAAACCTTTTACTTACTATATAAAGGGAATAATATGGGATACTGTTAGGGACTTTTCAAATTTTAGAAAATATGGATGGGTGCTTTAGACCTCTCAAAGTATTTGGAATGTATATGATTCTCTAGGGGAAATTTTTTCCTATCATTCAATAAAGAATGACCTTTCTTGTTATTTCTGTTACGAGTTCTATGGGATGCTAGAATTCAATTTCAAGGTATGGGAATTTAAGTACCACATTAGAAGTATGAGATTCTAGTGTGGGATTTTTAAGCTGTTGACTCTCTATCTACTTAATAAATAATTTTTTGGTGTGGTTCTCTTGAGATTTTTATCACATATACCATACAATTAATTCATGAATATAGATATAGGTTCAACCTAAGGGTAAAACTACTGAAAGTGAGGCTTTAAACCTACCAACAAAAAAATATTTGCTATAGTATTTTATAAAGAAAAAGAGACACATATGTTGAAAAAAAAGACCTAACATATAACTTTTTTTAAAAGTAGATTATTTAAAAAAAAATTGATTTAAGATTCACTTTCACCATTGGACTAACATACACACATAAAAAGTCTCATATTGTAAACTTGTTATTATACATTAGCATGGAAGTTAACATTTTTAACTTGAAGCATTGAACCACTACTAAAAGAAACCCTCTTTCTATATGGATTCTTTTTCTTCCTACATCTACATAGATTCAATAAGCTAGTATGTAACGACATAATTGTTTGCTACAAGTTTGTTTTATTTTATCAAAAATCAATATATTGAATAGTTCAATACGATTATGCCCTAAGCATTTTTTATCTTAACGACATCAATGTATGATTTTCCTTGTAGCTCGCTTGAAAAGTATCCTTTATAGTAATCTGCTGCACGAATCCTTTTAAATAGTGCAGGTCTTTCAAGACTAACAAGGCTTGGTGTTGGACCTATAATTTTGTTCATTTGAGGCTTGTGAAATGTAGCAATAGAAATCCTCTCCTTCTCTAAATTGATTGTTGCTCGATGCTCAATGCTTCGATAAATGCCATTAGTTAATATCTGCCAATGTGTTTCAAACAAGTGTAAAAACTCATTAGTTATCAAAATTTTTAATGTACTATGAATTCTAATTTGCATATATTCTTAAATTGTAACTCATAATATTACATCTATGTGCCAAGTGATAAAAGGAGTTTTGATTGATGTTTGGTCAATTACCTCCAAAATATCTCCAACATTGATGACAAAAGCATTAGATAGAGGTTTAATCGGAATCCACGTTCCTTCTTTTCTTATTTGGAGGCCTTCCGTTTCATTGACTTGTAGCAAAATGGTCAAAATACCAGCATCAGAATGAGGATTAAGGCCAATGACATGTTCTGGTTGGGGACATGGAGGATAGCAATTCATCCTCATTGATTGACCTAAATCTTCAAATAACTCTAGAAATTGATCTTTAGGTTCGATCTTAAGAGCTTTTGTCATAAATTTAATGATTTTGATGCAAAGTTTTTCCAATTCTAAAGAATAGTTCTCTATATCATTTCTGCAAGGAAACAAAATTTGTTTGAGCAAATTACCAATATAATCAATGATGTTGTAACTAAAGTGGTAACATAAAAGAAAAGTAAAAAAGAGATGTAGATAACCTAAATGGTTGGGAAATATTAGAAAATAAGGAACTCCTTGTGTATGATGGAAGTGTATTGATATAGAATAGATCTGCCCATTCCAACTTTTGTTCCTCAGATATAACAAAATGTTGACCATACCCCTCTAAATCACCTTGTTTTTGCCAAAATTTATTCTTCTCTTCTATTGGAAGACTGAAGAACTCTTGAACACCTATCTTCACATTCTGTATCAATGAAGGCTTGACACCATGATTTATAAGCTGTAATTGATTCATGGGTTAAAAAACTTAGAAAAAACATATAAAATTATATACACTATATACATAGGTATGTTTGGAATGGTAACAATTGTGATGAGCATAAAACCAAATTCATAGTAAAATTTGAAAGATCCATCGGTATATATTTTGCAAGAATATTGCATCCAATCAACAATACATGTTTTGCTTTAAAATTAATTAGTATAGGCAAAAATATTTTAATAGTTATTTCACATGTATATTGTTTTCATTAATGGCTTGAGTATACTTTTTTATATATAGTTTGGTGAATATATAATTTTGATTCTTAAATTTTTTTATTATAAATTAGATTTCTTAATTTATAAAATTACATATGCAATGTTAGTTCATCGTTAACATATCATTTAAAATTAAATATAAAATATTGATAAAAATCGAGAAGTGATATAACATATAATTAATTAGTTACATAGTAATATTAAAAATTAAAAATAAAATTATCTTAATATATTACAAGTTTTATTGAAATAAAAAAAAATAACATATTTATAGTTTAAAAACAATGTTGTTATTTATATGAAAGACAATATGATTAAGTAATTATTAGATAATGTCACTTATCAAGATATCAATATTTTTTGTTTAATTTTAAATAATATGTTAATGATAGATTAGTATTATTTAATTTTAAAAATGAGACTAATTTTACAATAAAAAATTTTGGAAACCAAAATAGTTCATTTGTGATATTATAGAAGAAGAAAAAAGTAAATTTAATACTTAATTAATTAACTGCATACAATACTATTGGAACCACAAAGTGTGGTTCACATGAGAGAGCAAACTTTACTTCCAAAGGCTCGAACAGGAACATTAATTACTCCCATAATCGCTCTTCAAACAAAAATTACAGTTTTGATTAAAAAAATATATCTACAATTTTTCTGTATAACTTTATTTTAGGTTTCAATAAAAAAATTACATATTAATTCATTAAACATTATCCTTAGAGCATTGGCTAGCAAAGAAAAAAAAATTACTCCCATAAACTATAACAAAATTTATTATTATCGACAATTATTTAACGATAATAAATTAATTATCTTTATTTTATTACTTAGTAAAAATGTTAATGACTAATATATAATAATCACTAAAAATATATTTATATCCTACTAAAATATACTATTAACGACAATTATTTATTAGAAGAAACTTAAGGAGTATAATTCTCGTCTCGATTAGAGATAAGATAATTAAAGAGTATATAAATGAATGATAACTCTTACCTTACAAGTTTGTTTTGTAAGATTAAGTTAAACTTATAACTTATTATTTTAAATTGATATCAGATTACTCACAATTACCAAACTCAATAGTCCTAAACATGAGAGAATGTATTGGAAAAAACTTAAATTTCACATGGATTATTAATAAAATAATTAATTAGAAGATAAAATAATTAAAAAAATAAAAAAAATTCAAGAATATATAAGTAAATGACAATCTTCATCTTACAAATCTCACATGGACTAAAAATAAAATAATTAAAAAATATTATAAATCATTTTTAAAATTTTTAATGACTAAAAAATACCACAAAACTTTATACACCTTCCCCAATTCCTTACCAGCATGCAGGTATTAAAAATTGTTTCCTAGAATGGAGGCTATTTATTAGTCACAAATTCATGATTGGAAATTTCAAATTAAATGGTTGGAGGTAGTAATGTCTTCTTGTCTTTGCAATTAATATCGCAATCACTAATTTGCGTCGTCAACGTCATGGTATAGGTGGCAATATTGCTACCACGTTTGACCAACTTTTTTAATGTTTCATTAGTTTGTGTTTCATTCATTTTCATCTCCAACCCAAATTACATCAAAATGTGATTCTAAAAGTAACAACACTCATTGGGTTAATAAGTTGAAATATAAATTTCATCTCCAATGCTAATTACTACATATTTGGTTTTGAATTAAAATATAAATCATATTTTGCTTTAACATTAGATTTTAACTAATTTTTTATTACTACATATTTGATTTTAACTAAATGCTCACCTAATTTTTTTTCCATATAAAAATTAGAACGTATATTTTTAACATGTAATGATTCGAAACAAAACAAATTGTGTCAAATATGCAGGGTAAAATTTTAATTTTACATTTCAATCATTTTAATAAAATATTTAGAATCGAACATAAAAGTCATTATATCGATTCAAATTTATATATTGTCATCCTGCACCTCAATTAATAATTTGCTGATGAACTAGTTGTTCAATATAACTCTAGATGGCCGTGTTCATCATCGAGTATAGTTCAATAATATTATTTTCAATAATTTTTCTTCTAATGTAATAATGATTATTAATTTCAGAAGAAAAAAATCATTTTTAATTATGATAATATTTTTTCCAATCCTATATATAATTTATTTCTTATAAAAAGGATTGGAAGTATCATTGTGTATCTTAATAGCCTTATAATATATTCCACATATTGAATGCCTCTGATTATAACTTCCAAAAAAATTAAAAATAAACGTCATAGCTTCTAAAATACATAATTACTAGTATATCAACATGTATTTCAATTAATTTATTAATTATTTATCATAACTAAATAGGATTTTTTCGTTGTTTTTGTTGTTGTGTGTGACAGAAATCTTTAATTAAGTGAGCCTGAAAACTTCAAAAGCAAAGTCTCAAAATCAGTTTTCCAAAAAATTAAAATGAATAATGTGAAGAAAGCTCTATTAGCATATTTAAACGTGCAAATGTGCAATATATAATCAAGAAAATATAAAGAAACCACAATAGGGAGGGATAACAAAAAATGTCAATTGAATGAAAATCTTTAATGTTACGCCCCTGCAACTTCCAGAAATTACCATGAAAAATATATAGCAAACGCAATATATACTGATAAATTTTCTAGAAGGATTTTTAGGGGAAAAAAAGGATTTCTTTATAAACTAAAAAAATCTTATGTATAAGTAAAAAAAATAATTAGAAATTAATATAAGAGAATTTTTACAAATTAGATTATATATAAGTTCATTTTAATTTATAAAAAATTATTTAAGGTTTTTTTTTTTTTAGAAGTACTTGTGAAAACGTTTTATAAACATACTCTTACTCTTGATTATGATCATGATCATGGTAGATATAATTCCTTTCAGTTTCTAAATTATAGCAAAGGAAGGAAGAGAATAATCGTCCAAACCTGGAAGAAACCCCATTCTTTGCATGCATGGTTTAGCTTTTCTAGCTCAGTTCCATCTTCAGACAACAATTTGTGGAGATCAATGATGGGGACTTGTGGCAAAGATGTTATGTCAGAAAGAACAGGATCTTGGTTTGTACGAACATATCGTTCTGGAACTTTGCTGATGGGTTGCTTAGCTAGCTCACGAACAGAAGGGACCATTAGAGAGCTTCCAAGATTCACTATTTGGGAATCCATAAGTGTAATGTTCTTTCTCTCTCCTCAATTAATCTTCTTACTTTCATCAATTCCTTCACTACATGATATTCAAATAAATAGTTCTCGCCAATTAAATGCAAACTTGTGGGAGCACGCAAGTTTTTATTCTTGTCTAAACGGGTAACTATGATAAATACAAATTATGCATTGTTCAAAGTTTAATTTTATGAGCACATATAGATAAAAAAAATTTATTTAGTATAATTTCTAGTCGATATGAAATTTAAGTTTTTCTTAATACAGAGACGTGATATATTGGTAGTCTACAAAATCGAAATGATTAAAATATACTTTATCCAATTCCTATTTTATATAAGAAATTTAAATCCTACCTCAAAAATTATTACCAAAATCAATACTCTTAATTAACTTTGTGTAGTTTTTCTTAGAAAAGAAAACTTTCTTTAGTTACTTTGATGGACAAATAATTCTAACACGGCAACAAAATATAAAATGTTTAGCACTCATAAAGTCAAGAAGTCGACAATTTTTTTAAAACCATTTCTACTACTACAAGCAAAAAAGTTATAGAGTATAATTTTTTATATCATCACTGTTAAAAGTATAACTTTCTAAACTTTCTAATGGGTTGGGGTATTCCTTGTACTCCTATTAATTTATTTTGTTTATAAAAAAAATTTTTCTAAACTATTAATTAATTAGACAATATTTTGAATATAATTTTTAAAATCATTATCACCTCTCTACATAAAATGAACTGCTATTTTGCTTTTGAGTATTTTTTTAAAAAAATTTACAAGAATTTTTTTAAAGAATTTTATCTTCATATCTAATTTCATTTTTATTTATCATAATTATATATAAATTAAATTTAATATTTTAAAATAAATGATCAATAAATAAAAATAATCTTATGTTATAATATAAATTATTTATGATAAACTTAAAATATAATTTATATCTTTAAAATATATCTATTCACTCAAATTCTAAATATAATTATATATTCAAATATAATATTATTTATATATAGTTTATTTTAACTTTTAGTTATATAATAAATATTTAATTTATACATATTAAAATACTAGTTATTATGATTGATAAATAGTTTAAAAAATAACTAGAAGAAAATTAGAATTTAATGTTGGTCTAATAAAGTTGGCTATGTAGTGTCGGATAACATACATAAAAACTATCTCTAATTAATAATGAATGTATTTTTATTTTTTTAATTCATTTTTTGAAATGAATTATAATTTTAATACTAGTTATTATTAGGGATGTCAATGGGACTCCATGGGAGCGGGTAATAGTAAACTCGCCCCCGCCCCGCTGGATGAAAATTAGTCCTATACTCATCCTATATTCGTGCGGGTACATGAATTTATTGAATACACACGGATATCCATGGATATTTATAAATTTTTAAGAAATTAAAAAATTATATTACAAATAATTTTAAGTTTATATTTAATGTTATTAAAATATTAAAAATAAAAATTTAATGTTAATTTTGAACTTGTATTTAACGTTAATTTTGTTGAAATAATAATAAAAATGCAAGATAATCAATAATTTAGAATACATCAATCTCACAAGTAAGTTAAAGTCTCGTCACAAAGTTACAATAATTCAATCTCATAATTTCAAACGAAAGTAAACAACTTAAAATACATAAATTTTATTGGTTCAATCAAAGCTAGAAAATTAATTAAATTACATCCAACATAATTCTATATAACATGCTTAACACATGTTGGTAACTTCATCAACATCACTTTTGTAAGAAAATAAGATGAGAGTGTAGTTTTAGGGTTATGTGGTACAAGGATAATTAGGATATTTAAGAAATATTATTAAAAAGGTACCCGTAGGTATGGATATCATCATACCCGCCCCCGCCCCGTTTATAAAAGGGTAAAAAGTTATCTGTTCTCATTATCCGCGAGTGCCCAATTAGTCTATCTATTTATTATCCATAGTAGATTTTACTCGCAAATACCTACGAGTGCGAGTATTTTTGTCATCCCTAATTATTATGATTGATAAATAGTTTAAAAAATCATTAAAAAAAAACTAGAATTTAATGCTAGCATGATAGAGTTGACTATTTACCCAACACAATTAGTGTCGAATAAGATACAATAAATAAATATATATATATATATATTAAAAATAATCTTATGTTATAATATAAATTATTTATGATAAACTTAAAATATAATTTATATCTTTAAAATATATCTATTCACTCAAATTCTAAATATAATTATATATTCAAATATAATATTATTTATATATAGTTTATTTTAACTTTTAGTTATATAATAAATATTTAATTTATACATATTAAAATACTAGTTATTATGATTGATAAATAGTTTAAAAAATAACTAGAAGAAAATTAGAATTTAATGTTGGTCTAATAAAGTTGGCTATGTAGTGTCGGATAACATACATAAAAACTATCTCTAATTAATAATGAATGTATTTTTATTTTTTTAATTCATTTTTTGAAATGAATTATAATTTTAATACTAGTTATTATTAGGGATGTCAATGGGACTCCATGGGAGCGGGTAATAGTAAACTCGCCCCCGCCCCGCTGGATGAAAATTAGTCCTATACTCATCCTATATTCGTGCGGGTACATGAATTTATTGAATACACACGGATATCCATGGATATTTATAAATTTTTAAGAAATTAAAAAATTATATTACAAATAATTTTAAGTTTATATTTAATGTTATTAAAATATTAAAAATAAAAATTTAATGTTAATTTTGAACTTGTATTTAACGTTAATTTTGTTGAAATAATAATAAAAATGCAAGATAATCAATAATTTAGAATACATCAATCTCACAAGTAAGTTAAAGTCTCGTCACAAAGTTACAATAATTCAATCTCATAATTTCAAACGAAAGTAAACAACTTAAAATACATAAATTTTATTGGTTCAATCAAAGCTAGAAAATTAATTAAATTACATCCAACATAATTCTATATAACATGCTTAACACATGTTGGTAACTTCATCAACATCACTTTTGTAAGAAAATAAGATGAGAGTGTAGTTTTAGGGTTATGTGGTACAAGGATAATTAGGATATTTAAGAAATATTATTAAAAAGGTACCCGTAGGTATGGATATCATCATACCCGCCCCCGCCCCGTTTATAAAAGGGTAAAAAGTTATCTGTTCTCATTATCCGCGAGTGCCCAATTAGTCTATCTATTTATTATCCATAGTAGATTTTACTCGCAAATACCTACGAGTGCGAGTATTTTTGTCATCCCTAATTATTATGATTGATAAATAGTTTAAAAAATCATTAAAAAAAAACTAGAATTTAATGCTAGCATGATAGAGTTGACTATTTACCCAACACAATTAGTGTCGAATAAGATACAATAAATAAATATATATATATATATATATATATATATAATTTTTTGAAATTGTATCTTTATAGGCTTATAGACTCATTACAACACAAATGGTATTTAGCAATATTTGAAAAATATTACTTAATTATGTATAAATGTTGCTAATTTGTTTTAGTAACATATTATCAAATGTTGTATATAGTCCACGTTGTTAAAGACTTTTAATAACATTTTTGCATAATTAGGTAGCATTTTTTAAATGTTACCAAAGTAGTATTTTTGTAACATTTTAATAATTTTTTGTAACATTTTAATGATGTTGCCAGGATTTTGATAACTTTATAAAATAATAATTAATTTTAATTTAAATATTAATATCAATTATTATATTTTTATGTCTCCTAAACTAAATTTTCTAGGAGTTCCTTAAGTTTTTAGGAAAAGACATTTTTAATTAGTCACCACTAATTATATATAGAATATCAAATTTTATTTATCTTAAAGTATAACTATATGAGTATATATACTCTTTATAAGTTATTAATTTATTCGATGTGGAACTTTAATTATGAGTTACAATTAGATATAAGAGAAATATACTTTTTTGACTCGATATGGGACTTTGTTTTTAGAAGCAATTATAATAATATTTTTCAAAAAAGTGTTGCAAAATAACTTATGTAAATTTTTTTTACTCGATACGGGACTTTAATTTTGAAAATTAGTAACATTTTAACAAATGTAGACAAGAAAATGTTGCTAATACATTAAAATCTAGTAGTGACTCATATCTTAGGTTGATTCCTATACATATAATTGACTAATCTATTTGACTCATGACTTCTTATCTACAAGGTTCATGATCAAAATATTTGAAACCGACCATCTTAAATAATTGTTGACTCATCATAAATTTAGATGACAAGATATGACTCCATTAATAAGACTAAAACTAAACTACAAGAAATGTTACATACAGTCACATAAAAAAAATCACTATAAACATAAAATATATAAATATATATTTATTTGACAATAGAATGCATGTCATTGTATAACAATATTTTAGTAATGAAAAAATGAGAGGTAGATTTTCAACTCGAGAAACATTAATATATCGAATAAAAACATTTTGAATACTCCAATGAGGAGACAAATCTTGTGATGGAAACATTAGAAGCTTCCGTAAAATTTTTCCGACTGCACACTTAAAATGTTATGTAAAGATGTCAGTTTTTCTTACAAGACACAAACACAAATTACTCGTGCTAAATTAGACATGGCTCACATGGCTTGCAAAATTTCTTCAACGGCATCTAAAGAAGGGAATGAAGCTGTGATGAGATGTTTTTCAATGAACACTTTAAGTTATTTTCCTTTAGATGATCTTGATGATGCCTATATCACTAACTGAAGAAATTTTTGCATCTAATTTTCCATGTTTTAATAGACTTAAAAAAAATCTCTAGCTTCGATCATCCGAAAAAGGATAATAAACATGATCTATTTATTTTTTAGAAAATAATATATTATTATTTAGCAAAAACACTATGAGATAGCTCAAATGAAAATGAAGTTTTAAATAGAGTTTAATTTTTATGGAGCATTAAAATAAGAAAATCTATATTTTCCCATAACGTTCTAATAATTAATTTTAATTAACTGAACTATTTTTCTTTTAACTATCAATGTTCCAGTATTCCT